AGTTGTAGTTAGTGATGAGTTGGCCAACTCATCACTAACTACAACTCTTACACGTTGTTCTAACAACGTTAAGACGGCTTATCGACTTCTTGAGAAGAATTCTAAGAAGAAAGTAAACCTACAGACATCGGCCTTGTTTAACAAAATCTGCCTACAAGAAAATCTGTCACCAAAATACACCAACATAGGTAAATATGTAGGTTGGTAGATTGATAGATTTACTAATACAACCCAAGTATTACCCAAATATTCCTGTTAATTGTAATTTAACTCTTAATTTTCATTTTAACAGATTTTGCTTAACCTGTTCTTTAAAAGTTTGGAAATGGCTTGAATGGGTAATGAAGAAAACTTTATTATAAATGTACAATGTTTCAAATTTAAACCTATACTTTAAAATTGCTGCAGGACACACTGTGTTATTAATAGGAGTTATAGTTTACTGATTTTCCACCTTCTGTATCTCAGATTTTGGGAATCCAAAGTATTGCATATTTTCAATGGATGTGCTCTATTGGATTCTTACTTTACATACCAAATTTCAAGGCAATCCATTAACTCTTTTTAGAAGAGTCACGGGTGAAAGGCCGTGTCCTATCGTTATTGACTTACATTCAAAATATTATTGAACTACTATTTCATGAATTTATGTCAATAACTTTGGTATCAAACTAGATTATAATTCAAATTTTAGTACTATATATTACTCAGTTTCTTTTTAATAAAAGCAAATATTAAAAAATACAGATAAACATTGATTTTTGTGTGTCATGTGGTATTTTAAATGCAGCACTGGTTCAAATTATATATTTGTGAATCAAAATATTAAGTCTGTAGTTTCTTATGAATTAGAAACTCAAACTACTGATATTGACAAGCTAGAATATAAAATAACAGCCTTTTTTCAATTTGCTAAGATATTGCTCATGTAATAAATCAAACACAGTGGCAACCAACCTACCTCTTTCCATTTTTGGAAACGCTCCCTTATATAAACTTCTATGTATAACAAGAACAACCAATCGGAAGCTCAGAATGTCCCCATAGTGGCTTTCTCTGCCATTTTAACAGGCTTGGATGCCATTTCTTACTTTTGAACCAATTTTTCAATAAGGTAGGGTGTGTCTTTAGTCTGCTCAAAATTTCATATTTGCTTTATGGAAAATCATAAAAGAATCAATCAAATTGAGTACGAAGCTGAGTGCTTACACTCAGAATGTCTCAGCTTCTACTGCTTTTCACTGTCTATAGCCAGTTGAACTTATTACTTTTTATGTATTAGTACATTATTTTAAAATCCCTAAAAACTTTTTATTGTCCATATAATGCAAATTTTGTCTATTTTTAATTTTTTAATAATCACGTACTCTCCTTATGGTTTCAAGTAATATACAAGACTGAAAATAATATTTCTAAGTAAACCTAAACAATAAACAAATATTTTTTACTTTTAAATAGGATTTCATGTTTATATATGTACATAAAAAAAAAACATTTAAATTTTGTTTCGTAATTGTATTTTTATTTCAAGTTTATGTTTCATTGCAGCCGTACTTTTGTACGTTTGACATAAAGTCTCTCATTCTTGTTGGGGATCACTCTCATTCATCCCAGCACAGGCACATTTGAACATTATTGTAGATATGATAGTAAGAAAGCTTTTTGATACTTCAAAATTATGTCTTTGAACTTTCAACATATGTCCTTGTATGTTGTTTCATTACACAGACAAAACTAATTGCCACTACTAGTGAGTGGTAATAGCTTACAGTACAGGTGGTTTGAATAACACCACCTGACCCTAGTTACATGATACATCCTGTTACAAGAGATTAACAAATGATACAGACACCATAAATTACAAAGAAAATCACATCATAGTACTTAAAAGATTAGTCTAGGTCACATTCCTCTCATTATAGGCAATTTTTATATTGGAATTTGAAACTTGAGCTTTTCAGTGTATTGACACCCCAACTGTGAGAATGTCACAGATTCCCCTGTATTATTGAGACTAATGTGTTTAGTCTGTATCACAACCAACTTATGGGCTTTATTGTTGTCACTTGTACACTAAGTTTTAACACAAAATCACATAAAAGACTCTTGCAGGAATAAAAACTTCATTTACCAACAGAACACATGCACAGCAATTTGCAAGTGTTCACCAAAATCATCGTTGAAATTGTTAATTTGGAGCACTTCAAATTTCATCTAAGGTAAGATGTGCTTTTTTTTTATACATAATAGTTATACATATTCAAAGATGTAATGTTGCTAAGGATAAATAATTAAACAAGATACCTTTATTGAAATTAGTTTTACTTTATTTAGTTTTAGTTTATACACAAATATATCACCATGGAGTGATATCTTTCAGTAATATAATGTCAAAAGTACTTACAATTTTATGTATAAACTGTTTGTATGTATTAGTTCTACCTGCTCTTTACACAGAATAATAATTTCTTTAGTTTCGATGATATCAAGAATAAAGAGATAGATTTAAGTATCTCTCAACACCTGTTTAGATATCACATAAAGTAAGAAGTATGTTTTTTATATAACATGTAATTAGTAAATTTCCATGGTGTATATCTTACTTTTGATGATAAATATGTAAATCATATTCATTAGTTGTACATCATATGAATTAGTTTTTACTGTACTTGGTGATTTTGCTTATGTCCATACACATACAAACAAAATGTCCATTTTTAAATGTATTCTTAAAGTTAAAGCTCAATAATTCAAATGTATATGTATTATCTTTTCATTATGTCAACTGAATATTAACAACATATTAATTCTCCTAGATGGAAGATATTTCAGCACTTAGGAAAAAGAAAAATCTTTCTTTAGATGAAGCGCTGAAATTGTTTTTTGCTTCTTCCTCTGAAGAAGAGTCTCTTTCTTGATTTGAAGAAGAAGCCACAACAAATAAAAATGGAGAGGAGCAAGAACCAGCTTTGCTTGGATCACTTTTATTTGAGAAGCCTGACTTACCTTCAAGGGAAGAAGACTCTCCTCATGACCACCAACAATCTGAGGTTACTGATCTTCCCATGTTCAGCACTACATCAACTTACAAAATGGCCAGAGGCAAGAAGACACAAGAAAAGCCTCTAGCCTGTAGTGCATAATGGAAATGGGAAGTTCTCAAAGATGAGCAGCCCAGATTGTTGGGGGACTTCATCCGAGGAGAGCCCATTTCTCGTCAGACTCCTTGATTTTTCAACTTTTTTTTTCTCTCAGCATTGTTACCAAAATTGCTGAAGAAACAGATTTGCACACCAGCAAGGGGAACACCTAAACAATATTTCACTAAATAATATACAACTTGAATTATTCATCTTCAGACAGTTGTTTGGTAACAGTGTTTAGCTTATTTTTGCATTTGTATAAACATGTATAAAGTCTTCAGTGTACATATTCATGAATAGTGAACAAATGTACAGTTTGTATGTTCTTGATATATAAACTGATGTGAATATAATATCTCAGTGTAGCTTTTACTACGTTTTATTTTTGCATCTAAATATGATTTGCATACAACTGTACATATACTTCTCAGTGCATAACTTACAAATTTGATATTGTTTATCCATACATTGATGCTCCTTTTGTATGTATGTTATCTTGATTTGTAACTATTGTATAAACTTTTATGTAATTGAACTTTAAATTTTAAACCCTTTGCAAAATATCAGAATAAAATATTTATATATCAGTTAGTATGTTTTGATTATAAAAAAACAACAGAAGTGTGGGTCTTACTATGTAATGATAGTAAGAAAGAAATTATAAAATTCTTACGATAAGCCTAAAACTATCAAAGTGGTACTAGTAATACGTACAAATGACACAAAGTTATCCTTATAAATACTAAATCATATTTTTATTATGAACTAAATTATTGAACTTAAAACTGCAAATTTAAATACAAAAGAATATAAAAATCACAAACTCTTTCAGTTCAAAGTCGTAAGCCTACTTCATGTAAAGACCTTGCACTCGCTACTCGATAGCTCTTAACCCTAATAATCGTGGATCAACTTCTTTCCTAAAAAATATAACTATTTTGAGTTAATTTTTCAATATTATAATTAATATAAATAGATATACGATGCAGCATGACCTAAGCTACTATATAAAAATAATAAAAGTCACGTACATACCCAT